CTGTTTAGTTTATCAAAAGAAAGGTTAAGAGATGACATAATCACAGTTTATAAGTATCTCCATGGAGAAAATATATTTGATAATTGCGGGTTCTTCAGTCCAACAGACAAAGACATAACAAGATGAAGTAGATGGACACCGAATCTGAAAAAAAAAGAAAAACAGATTTAGATGCAGTAGTTTTAAAAGGAAAATGATTAACCTCGGGAAGTATTTAACAAGGATAATGGTGGAATCTCTGTCTCTGACAATCTGTAACTCACAACAGGTTGTCTTTCAGACAGATTGGATTAGATTAACACAGTAGTTCCTCACAGTTTTATAATCTGAGAAATGTTTGGGTGATTTAACTATTTAGTCTGCTCATGTTTAAATGAGCTTCTTCCATTTGTATTATTACCATTTTTTGCTGGCTCAAAAGTGGTAGCATGGACCAAAACCCCTTTCTCAGATGAGAATGTGTTTATATGCTGATGCACTTTGTGGGTTGCCATAAAATTTAAACTACTCCTTTAAGCAGTGCAAAATGAAATACAGTCTCTGGCAGCAGCAGGATGTACACAGCTGTAGCATGTGTGCCTGTCATGTCATACCCCTAGCAAGCATTCAGATCCTGGCATGCATTTTCTTAACATAAATAGTTTAGAGTACATGCTCATGCTCTGAGAGAGAAAAAAATTGCTCAGCCTACTGTAGCAACCCTGACCAATGGGGATTTAATGCCCTCTTTAGAGAAGCCATCTCAATGACACAAATCTACTGGCTTAGTCTATCATTTAACAGCTCTCAGAAACAGTTCAACAACCTGGTCAAAATTTGAACTTCAAGCTGCCCAAAGATAATACTGGACTACGTACTGTGTGATGAGAGTAAGCAATCTAAGTATCTGAGAAGGATGGGAGTTAAGATATGCTCCTCTTCAGGCTACTTTTCAATGCCTAAGGAAACCAGATTAGAGAGCCTCACTGTTCTCAGTTTCTCCTCTCTGCTAGAGTGGCTGTGAGCAGCTCTGACACAAGGAAGCACAGGGGGCCACATCCAGGCAACTGGCAATGCTCATACCCACCTCCCTCCATCCACACAGCCTCACACCTGGATGCCTCCAACCTGTGCTTTGTTGGCTATGTTTTTGCCATTCCTAGCGCTGTTATGTGGTTAGAAGTGAAAATATGTTACTTTTTTTTTTTTTTTTTTTTTTTTTTGAGATTATTCCTGACCTCTTGGCCATATTCTAATTTACATCACCGACTACATTTTCCCTCTGCATTCTTCCCTGCATTTCAGTTGGTTGCAGTATTTCTCCATATTTGGTTCCTAATAATACACAACTACCATAACATGTAACTGAGACAAAGGATGTAGAAGTTTCAAAGAAAGGGTTAGACATTATATGAATTATAAGGATAACTGTGGTTTCTCCAGGACATAAATCAACCCGCATTCTTCAGGCTATAAATCATGCACTAAATGTCTGGATCTTAAAGGAGAAACTTCCCTCACCAACATGTTGTTGTATAATTGCCTATTATGGGAGTTTTACGTCTTCCTCTGAAGCATCTGGTACTGGTACCATTAGTTTGAACTGGAACAGCAATTCCTGTGTGCCTTTGTGGAGCATTCCTGTGACAGTTCAGCAGCTGCTCAATTCCATCTCAGATAGGGTAGCCAGATGTCCTGCTGTTTTAAAGTTGTCCCACTTTTCAGCATCCTATATGACTTCATTTACTTGCCTTAAGTAAGGCTAGCTAGCCTTGTATTTTCACATAGTTGTGCTGTCTAATGCTTCTCACATAGGGACATAAAAGCTACTCCCAATGTGATTGTGATGCAGGAGGAAACTGGCCATAGTTAGGGAATTTTTAGAAGTCTGGTACTCAGGAAAACATAGAGAAAAAGGTGTTGCTGTTTAACTAATTTCATGTCCTGTTTTATGTCTTTTTTACTGCAAGAAGAGATACGTGTTATAAATCCCAATCATGAGAACAGTGGTAACTATAATTGATTGTGTATAATATTTTCCATTCTTGCACTTTATTTTCAATATTTCATAACTTTATAAAGCATTCACTTAATTGTTTTTGAATAAGGGAAAGAACATCAAAAAAAAACCAACAAAAAAACAAAAAAAAAACAACTATCTTTTTCTTTATTATTAGGCAGTGCTGGTCACTGTTTTTAAACAACTCTGCCACTCAAATAACTATGGGTAAACATCTGCAGATGAGATTGCTGTAGACATTTTGAAGTAGATTTTATTATTTTTTTTAAGCTTGGAACATGTAAATAACTCATACTGGAAATGCTGAACAGATTTCCCAGCAAATTTATTGTGACAAATGTGATAAGAAAAATTGAAGATACTATCAGTGATGTCTATCTTGGGTGTCCTAGGATGAATGAAATGACTTAAGGAGTTTTCAGGGGGCAGAAAGTGCTGAAAAGTTCAACCAAAGGGACTAAGGCCTTCAGAACCGATGCATGAGACACCAACTCACAAATTACTTAACTATTTCTAGACACAAACAAGACATAAAGGACATAAATTGGGGCTCTACAAACAAGATGTCTACTCCTGAACTAACTGTCCCAAGCTTTCTTTACTGTCAGAAGTGATGTAATCAATACTGCCATTGGAATCAAAGGCACAATCTATTCTAATAGGGACATGCAACAGAGGTTTTGTGAATTACTTTTGTGTGAATATCTGCCTTTGCTGGCTAAAGGGAGTTTGGAGTGACGAGTCTAGGTATAGTTGTCTAATGATTGAAGCTTAGAGACCTGCTCCAAAACATACTAATTTGGATCCACATTTCGTCCATCTTCTTCCTGTTAAGATCACAAGTATAATATCCATACAGGGTCCATAAGGTGTCCTGCATATATTTTAGCTGTAATCTCTCATGACACACACATTAAAATGTTTAATCCAAGTATGGAGTACCTTAAGTTTGGGATAGTCAATACAGCTGCAAAAATAATTTAGTCTTCATTTCCATTTTCACTTAGATGAGGTGCTCTTCAGTTAGGATGCTGATGAAGCAACTTCCAAGGCACTCCCACATTTCCCTTGACGGATGAAAGGGTTCTTTGGCAACCGCCACAACTAACTGAAAAAAAAATCTTCCAGAGTATCTCTGTCCAATGGGATATATTCTCAGGCACATGGTGGTGAAGACAGAAGTAAAGGTATAGCAACATGGTAAGGTTTAGTAGATTGACATCCCCCTAGTATGTTCACTGCACTATCTTCCTCACTTAGTCTTCATCTTGTCTTTACCTCCCTCCTTTTTACCTCCTCCTTCTGCGTCCTCTTTTGTAAACTATTCTATCTCTCACAATTAACACAGAGAAAGGCTTTGCAAACCCACACAAAATCACCACACTGAAGTGGAACTTACATACCTGTGCCTCTTTTCCCTATCTTTTGCCTTATTTATCAGCTAAAGGCCTTACATACAGTGGCCATTACCTTTCAAACATGTGAGTTTTGAAGTCATTGTAAGATGATGATTTCAAGGTCAAGCTTGCTCATTCACCTTACCACTGGGGCAGTGGAAGAAAATGCTTCTATGTCTGGCAGTATCAGTTTATTCTATTTCTGCCTCTCTGTTTAAAAATAGCCTGGCAAGAAAACCTGCAGGTCACTTGCCTGATCCAGTTCACTGTGCTACCCTAGTCCAGGTCATGGAGAACTATTCCAGCCATGCTGAGGGTGTGCAGCAGGTACAGGCTGGTTAAGTCAGCACTGCCTCAGACAGAAATGTCAAAAATGACCCGAAAAAGAGAGTAGGCAGTAAGGTAAGAAAATATGCTGATGATACAAAGTTATTCAGACTTGCAGGACAAGGGCAGACTGTAAAGTATTACAAAGACTGAATGACTGGGCAATAAAATGATAGATGAAATGCAATGTAGATATATGTAAAGTGATGCACATGAGGGAAAACAGTCCCATCTCCACTTACAAAATGGTCTCTGAGGTATATTAGAATTTGAGAAGGTCCAGAAAAGGTCATCAAGGATGACAATCCTATTTTGATCCTCTTTTTTTTTTTTTTTTTTCTTAATGCTTTCTGCACAAACAGCAACAGCATAGTCTGGGGCTTCTAAGTCAGAAGAGAAACTTAGGGAGGATTTCATAGAGCTCTGTATAATTATGAGTGATGTGATGACTGACATCTCACTTTCTTTGCCAAAAACAAGAAATGGAACTGTCATGTGCATGCATAAGGGCCATGTTCAGAATAAATTTCAAAGGGTGGTTCTCCATGTGGCAGGTGCTGGACCTATGGGACAGCTTGCCAGAGGGTCTACTGCATAAAATTAGCATGATATCAATTGGAGTCTGGACAAATACTTGAAAGAGTCACCCTCTGGATATTGCTAAATAGACAAATCTAATCAAAACAAAGAATCCTTGAAATGAAAATAGTTTGAGTCTGAATATGCAAAGCATTATGTATGTATGCTTGTTCTTCTTAGGATTTTTACTTGTGGATACTAATAGACACAAGATACTCAGCTAGGTGGACCATTGGCCTAAACCAGAACAGCAGTTTTTTAATTCTTCTAACCACGGCCTTGTGAGTAGGAATTTTCCCTTTTGTGGTGTTTTTCTGTAGTCACTGTGATAGTTGTACAAATACAGAGTCAAAAGATAGTCATTATCCGCAAAATCTTATCTTTATGGCAAGATATAACCTGTATAAGAGTAGATGGGAAGAAACCTAACCAAGCAACTAGTTCAGCAAGTTTTTCAATACTTTGCCTTTAGCACATATGAATGTGTGAATGGGAGCCAGAAAACAATCAGGTGTTTGAGTGTATCTGTAGGTGCATTTTGTTAGGAAGTTCTTCACGAGTTTAGCACTTCTAAGTTCTTTACTTTGTTCTTAAACATCCCTATAATGAATTTCATAGTTCCAGAAATTTGTTGGTAAGTTTGGGAATACACTGAGATGAAGAAACACTATAAATAAAAGCAAATGTGATTTCTTTCGGGAAATATACTGCGTCCGATCAGGCAGTAAGACCGTTCCTACATTACTCTCAGAAACACTATATTTTGGCACAAATAAACTATGGAAATGATTAAAAAACAATGATGCTAGACTAAAAGATTTCTAATTAGATCAATGAATATGAATATGATGTGGTATGTGCCAGTTTATATATAATTTTGTAAGATGTATAAGGAATGCAAAAATGTATGCTTATGCTAGTATCCCTATACAAATGTTTGCGTGAGATGATCTGTTTGCATATATTTAGATATTATTTTTACACTCACAAAGAATGTACATTTGTGAGCACTCATGTCTTTCTACATATGGCTGAGCTATTCCATTTTCTTTCCTTTCTCTAAAATTTAATTTACCTTCTGCTTCCCTCATATACATTTCTTAAAGCAAAACCCTTTTCTGTTTTACAAGGCTGATAGGATTTTCTTTCCAGGATATTTCAGTAAAAATTATCGTCCAAGTCATTCCATGCAGTTTAAAACCCCCAATATCAAAATAAATGTGAAAGAAACTGAATGAGGAAGGAAAACAGTGCTGCAACTTTTGTTCTCTGATCAGCATTTTTTCTGTTCAAGACTTCCTGAGTGGTAAAATAGCTCAGCCACCCATGAAGTCAAGTCAGAGGGCAGAAAATTTTTATATTACTCAGATTTCCTCAAGGGGATGACCACACTGTGACCTCTTTGCTTTCTGTAAAGCTCTGTGACTCAGAGACGTTATGATGCTTCTATTTTAAAGTTTCTCCAGTGAACATTCAGGCTTTCCTCTGTGACACTTTTCAACTCAAGGTGGGTAAAAGCATCTTGCCAGATTCAGTAACCTAAGGTCATCCTTGGACTCTAAATATTAACATTTGATTAGCTGTAATAGTCTATTTTTTTGTCCAAACCGTTCTTTACTTATGTAACTTGACTCACTTGAGTAGCCCCACTCATTTCAAGCTCTGAAGTAAATGAGTGACTGTCTACTTAAAGAGCCATCCCATCTGTTTTTTTCTAGTACAAGCCTTGTAAGCCTTTTTTAATTAATCTGGAAAAAAAAATCCTTTATGGCTTGTAAAATAGCAACATGTTCCTGTTTAAAAAGAGAGAGAGAGAGATTGAGAGAGAAAGAGAGAGAAGAAAGATATCTGCATGGTTAGGATATAGACTGCAGATATATTAAAAAAGGGAAGAAACACAATAAAGTAGGTGAGCAAATCATTGATGTTAAATTTATCCACATTTCCAGGACTGAAGATTAAAGCCTTCCAGTATTAAAATAATACATAAACAAATGTAAATGTGAATTTCAAGTTGAGGTTTCATTGTGACAAGTGCTGTAAGCTAAAATGAACAATTTTTTTCAGTACTGTCCTGATGTACTTCATTCTGTTGCCTTCTATTTTCACGGGTTTGTTACTTAACAAACACAGTTATACACATCAAAGAGAACATTTGGAAATATACAGCAGATTTTTCATATAATCATATGTATCTAAACTGTGGGTAGCAGAAGAAGCAGTTCTCACAATTTAAGAAGTGGGGCAATTAATACAGGTTTTTCAGCCTGATGCCATATATAAAAGTGATGACAGAGTTGTTTACAAGGAAATGGAAGTACATAACATACATGGTATATGAATAAATTGAGAGAATATTTGATCCATCAGCTCTTTATGACACTTCTCCCCTATTTGCTTGGTGCGGGAACCTGGTAAGGAAAACAAGAAACACTTGATATATATACCAAAACAAGTGAGAGAGGATGCCTAAAAGTATTGGTCAAGTGGGAGACAAATAGTATCACATCCTCTTTTTTCTGCTCTCCAAGGAGGACAAAGCAGGCAGGGAGTCAGGATGGGGCCATATATGTGATTCACAGGTCCTGTCTTAAGCTCTTGTACAGATTGCAAATGCATTCTCTCCTGTCTTTCCTGCAGGCTTCATTTCTGGGCTCTGTGAAAAAAGTGGTGCACACATAGAAGGAGGCAACAGTGTGAATACAATTAAAGCAGAAGAAGACAATTCACCATCTCATAACTGAAAATGTGTGATCTCTCCATATTATCCTCACTTACTTACCATGGTATATAAGAGATAACATTTCCTAAGACACTTTTTGGGTTTTAAATAAAAATCAAGGGAAATCTAGAACATGACATCTAAGTGGTATTGAACATGCTCAAAGCACAGGTAAGCACAGAGATTTGAGCTATTTAATACTAGTGGTAAACTCATCCTATATAATCTAAAAGTTAGAACAATGTGTAGAGACAGCCACTGCAAATATATGCAGCTCAGTGTATGCAGAACACCAGTGCAGAGCTGGCACGTATGTCACAGGGCCTCGGAGAGATCCACAGATTTCTGGAGGGGCCTTGGGAGGCCTCATGGGACACCTGGTGTTTCTAACACCACCCTATGAATCTCACCGTGTTCATCTGGAAAAAGCTGTTCATCCAGTCTCATTCCACTGCCAATCATCTGTCCCAGGCAACTTGGTGTAGAACTTTTCTCTTTCTATAGAAAGAGTCTAGATGACTAAATGGAGTGGGCCCTGATATTTTACATAGCTAAAAGTAGGGATTGTCACTCCCTCTACTAGAATATTATCCCAAAAGTGTTGCCAAATCCACACAATACTTTGTATGGATTTGTATGATACAGCTCAGCCATCAGTCATCCCACTGGATTATGATACCACTAGTGTCACTGCCTAAACAGAAAAAGAGCAGTGACAAACTTCAGTGATCACTGTAGATCTCACAGATGATCTAAGGACATCAAAAGGGGAGAAGATCCAGTCCTGACACCATCTTTCTGGGGTCTCCCAGAAATAGTTAAAGCCAGCTTTCTAAAGTTAAGTATCAAAATTGATTGATTATTTAGTTACTTCAAGCAGTCATGGATTTTCAGGTTTAATCAAATGCAGTCATGCCTCAGTTTATTGCCAATCAATGTGGCTAAAAATACCTGGGGACTCAAGAAAGAGAGGACAACATTTTTCAGAATGATATTATGATTAAAAGTATTGCTAATGTCTTGTATAAACCGAAGTTTACAAGAAAAGAGCATGTTTTCCAGACAGCTTTGATGGTAGAGCAGCGAAGGAAAATGCTACTCAACATTTCCTGAGAGGAGAATCTGCTGAATTCTATTTTATCTATGACTGATTGAATTATCCATTGCAAATAGTGTTTGTTGCTAATTTGGCCGTTTTGCTGTTCATGAATCATTCTGGAAACAATCCTGATTTCTACAAGCACATTTGTTCTTTGTAAGTATTCACTGAACAGTTTTATGTGAACAGATTTCAGCCTATTTTTTGTTCTCAAATTGTTAGTGTCATCTATTCACCATTTGAAGTGTTTGACTGGTCAACCAAATCACATCGCATTGTCTGCACTCCCTGATTGGGTAACTGAAACTTATAAATACAAGTATAATGAATAGCAAATGATGAATAGCCAATAGGGTATAACAAATATTGGATCATCTGAAATTTCATACGAGAGATACATAATTCATGTAACTTTTAGGACTCAAACATTTCCCTGAATACCTGGCAGCTTCTAGAAGATCCTGGAACTATGAGGAATGTATGTCAGAACAATCAGCAACTATACTCTCCATTTTATTAACATAGCATTCAAGAATTAGGATTTCTTTTTATCATAAAATGTTGATCATCCTGGCAAGAGTGTATTTGTCTGCATGTATGGATGTGATTCATTATTATTTTCTACTGATATTCAAAACATATTGGTAAAGTATATATGTATGAACCTAGCACATGATGTTTTTCAATCAATAACAGGGCAAGACTTCTTTGTGTATACTGAAATGAGAAAGAGGAAATGATCAGAGGCAAGGAATGTATTTTAAATTGACATCTGATGAGGTAGGCAAAAACAGTTCCAGACTGCAGCAGCTTCATGGAAGAAGATTTTCATCTAGCAAACTTTTTTTTCTTTCTTTTTTTTTTTTTTTTCCTAATTTCTTGTTTTCTTTTTATTCCTTGCATTTTGTTTTTAATCAAAATATTAAAAATGTCTCAATTGATGTTCATTTCTTCTTTATGGTTTTAGATGTGAAGCTGTCACATATTTAGAAATACACCCTTGCACAGTGTGATTTAATAACTAACTGACTTTTAATGCTACAGCTATTTGTTACGAAGGAGGAAAGTTACAAAGACGTGAGAGTATTTATCTAACAATCCATCATGGTTTCAATCCAGAGTGTCAATGTGTTTGACCCAGTGGCCAGAAGGATTTTTTGGCTGGTCCAGATGCTGAAGTTAGGGGTTGCCCCACCACCTCTGCTACATCCCTCTCTGTCATTGCCTCTAACTTCCCCATACACATATATTTTGTCAAGGTAGGGATCTGTTGGACAAGAGAGCAGACTGGGCAAACAGAGGAGGGAAATTGGGTTTGTAAGCTCTTTGAGTTGATCTGGGGATCAGCCAGACAGACCTGCAGGGAGCAGGTACAATGGCATGTATTTAATAATGGGAACAGTCATCAAAAAGTAGTCAGGTTATCTTGTCATTGGTATTCGAGAAAGCCAAGAAACAATTTTATAGGAGAGGTAGAATTAACATTTATTAATATCCAGAATAAGGACAACAGCATGCCCTCTCCCCTCCCTCCCCATTTTCCCCCTCCCCCCCAAAAATAAAATAAAATAAAATAAAATAAAATAAAATAAAATAAAATAAAATAAAATAAAATAAAATAAAATAAAATAAAATAAAATAAAATAAAATAAAACAAAATAAAATAAAAAATTCCAGTGAAATAAGACATCCCAGGTCTAGCTTACAAATATAACAGATATGGGAATAGGCTGCGGAACATTAAGTGATTGCTTGGACCAGTACACATCTAGGAAGCTTTGCAGGAGAAGATATTGGAAAGGAAAACTGATGAATCAAGCAGACTCATTATCCTCTTCTGAGCTTTCCAGGAGGTGAGTGGAAGCATCTCTAAGCTGAACATACCTGGATGTTAGATATATCATATAGGTATCACCAAAATTGCAGTCTGCTATATCCAGCCCTCATCCAGTATTTGGATTCTCATTAGCCTTTGGTCATATCGAACCTTGTGCAGGAATAAAAATATTTTCTGTAATTACGTTAAAAGGAGGAATGAAGCCTAACCAAAGATACAAGTATGTTGAAAATTTTCTTATACATAAGTATGAAGTACAAGACTGTTGTCATTATCTGTTGATCAGTTTAAGAGTATCAGACAAATGCATGGTATAAGATCAAAGCTGTAAGGATGTTAACCCTTCTGGTGCAAGAATTTATCCAAACGCCAGTAGCCTTGATTTCTATTACAAGGAACAAAGGAAGGAAAACTTCTATATTCTATATTTTTCTATACTCTTTGGTGCATCCTCCTTGTTTTAAAAAGCTACACAACATGCTCTTTGCTGGAGCTCACTAGCTATAAATAGCCACTCTTCCACAGAGAAATCCCTAGCCTATCTTTCTACCTAGTTTCAAGACAAAGCAATGTTTTCTCCATTTTCTTTGGCTATGTCTATGACTAACTCACTCTGATGGCTTTTTATATTCACTTCCTCTTCTGAAACACCTATCCATCACCTTGCCACATCAGCCTTTTATCCCTGCTAGTCAACCTCTCAAACCACTGGTAGCAGTTTTTATCAAGTTTTGCCATATTACCCACTGCTTCAGACAATGGCTTCTGCTGTTTCTGGGGTTCTCACTAAATGAAATTGTTTAATTTCTCCTTTTCTTAAGGCTGAAGAGTGGCTGTTTAGCATGACCATTGCTTAAATCAGTTCAATAATTGTCTGGGGACCAAAGCATCACTTGAGAGCAGTCACTCATTTTTTCCAGCATAACAATATTACTATTTCCTGGACTTGCCATATGGGATACATAGGAGTGGGACACATAGCCAATTAACTGAGACAAAGGTTTAACTTAAAGCAATAATGATAGTGCATTTAGTGCACTTTGGAGCCATGGTTATCATTACTGAATTATAAATATTAATAACAGTTAAACACATTGTCAATGGTGCAGCTATTAAACATCTGCTACCTCTGTTACATGGTGCTTTTTAGCCAGAGTGAAACCTCTATTTTGGGGCATATGCAAGTGCTGCAGTCTCTGTAATGGCATTTTGACCTCAGTGTGGCTAATATAGCACATATACTTTTCAGGAGCATCTGTTTTTCAAGAATATTGATAAGGATTGGTGTTACCAGTGAATGTAGAAACAGAAGACAGGAAACAGAAACAGAAGTCTTGCACCGCAGACCAAGGGCTTCAGGCATGAAGGCTATGCCTTCATAATTTAGTCACAGAACACCCTCATAGGTGCTCTACAGTAACAGTGATTGCCTCCTCCTAACTGACATGCTGTGGTACTAGGCAGAAATCATATCTGTGCCTTGATTTGGCTAACAAACGAGTTCCTTTCAAGAAAACAATGATTATCTAATAAATAACAAATAACATGGTGGAAGGTGCTCAGGTCTTCTCTCAAGATCTGATTTTCTTGGTATCAAACACAATGTTCTGAGCAAGTGTTTTCAAATACAAATTATTCTTAGAGGGCTCATTTATTTTCAGTTAAATCTTTTACTCAGAAATCAAGACCAAAAATATATTTTTTAATGTCTAAGCATATACATGAACTAGTCACTGCACATAATTCTTAGGAGACCTAACAGAAAGAAAGAAACTTTACTCTAGCAGTTTTTATTTTTTTAAGAATTTCATTTGGTGCTTTTATCACAGGTAAATGTACCTTGACAGAATGCCAGAGAAAGAAAGAAAATAATGTCATCTGCCAGATCTTTTCCCCAGAATTACTTTGTTCCAAATCTATGGCCCAGTGGGGAAGAAGTGATTAGCTCCCAAGGTCATTTAAGCATCAAACTGTATTTCTGGTAAGAAAAAGCCGTCTCAGAAGGAACAACCAATGACACCATTATTCTCAAAGCAGGTGTAATCAGAATTTTGTAAAATCAAAAAGACATAGAATAAAGGAGGAGGAAAGAAAATAGTAAAAAGCCCAGCATGTTAATATCTGCATTTCTTCTAATTTCATAGGAGAGAAAGAACAAAACCAGCTCTAGTCTACAGGCAAGACATTATGTGAACAGATAATGCATTGCACTGGTTTCAAAACTAGAGAGAGCACTAAAGACAAACAAAGATCTCCATCTCTTCTGTTGATTGAAAAAAAAAAAAAAAGAAAAAAAAAAGAGGTGGCTTGGTCTAAAATGGAGGAGCTATTTTATAGCAAATTCTTAAAATCAACATATGAAGATCCAGCAAGAAAACATGTAAGGCTAGGAAAAGTTAGCTAGAAATAAAATTAATTTTTAATGTGCAGTGGAAATAGCTACTGTAATGTCTGCTAACTATCAAAATTCAAAATCTTTAGTAAAAAATAAAGTGACCATGCAATGTTTTTATACTAAGGAATTACAGAAAGTTTTGTTGCTTTGAATTTAAACTCAGACTTGTTTTGGATTCAGCTTTGAATGTCACTCTAACTCAATTCTGCTATAAGCATTACTTCTTTAGTGTATCTCCAAGGACTTCTGGAGGTAAAAATATTTATACATCTCTAATATTTTAGTTCTTGATTTAAACCAAAATCTTATATGGTTAGTTCCCATGCATATTAAACAAAAAGAAGACTAGAATGCAATATGCAATATTCATTCAGAGTGTAATTGAATCAAAGGTTTTAACCATACAGATGAATTTAACCACTATAGGATTATGGATAAAGCATATTTAGCAGAAGCAATAAAATGGCAATTTAGCATATTGAAGGGCAACTAGCAATTTGACATAAATAAAATAGAGACAAAAGCAGACCCCAGCAGAAGCAGAAAGTGGAAATTGTTAAATAAATTCTCTAGTTAAAAAAGACTATCCTTATGCAATGACACTATACATTACCAGCTTAGCGCTCAGTAGAAGGTGTCACAGTGTCACACCTGGTTTAAAAACAACATTGTATACTTTGGAAAACAATTGGATTAGTGCTTACTGACGTTACAGAAAAGTGATGGAGGGTGGTGAGAGTGGATATGATTCATAACAGGGGTAAGCATTCACCATACTTCAGTGGAGGTAGTTGCCATGGGAATATTAGCTTAGATCCTGAGTGTTTTCTGAGTATGTTTGGTTACTTCTTGCAGGGATTTCTGTTTAGGACACAGGGGACTAAGATCACTTACTCTGCATGAATCTCTCTTTTTTTTTTTCTTCAGTGAATTTCTAATAAATGTATAAATAAAATATATAAGTAATAAATACATAGTAATAAATACAACAAAAATGAGTGAAGAATTCTGTGTCCAATTTCTGAATCCATTCTTGGCATCCAAGCAAACTGAACCATTGTCCAACACCCACTATGCTTTACAGTTCACATTAGATATTTCTATGTACTATATTTTGTAGATGTTGGCATCTGAAAGCCAAAACACAGAAATGTTTTTGGCTAGAAAATAAGGACATGCCTCTGAATGCTGTGGGCTTGGAGAGCTTGTTGGCAGGAGGATGGTGAACTGCTCCCCCTGCTACACACCTGGGCATGGCTGGTGCACACTGCATGCTGCCCTTGCTTTGTCATGAGCTATAAGTTATTGCACTGTAGGTATCAAGTGGAAAGTTGACTAAAAAAAATAAAACATTATACTTTTCACTGTGCTAATAGGAAGCATTGTTCTGTGGTACTTGCTAAAGGATTTTGTGCCACTAAATTCAGTCTAAAACTAGCTTGGGGATAATCTGATAAAGTCAAATTCACTCAATTTATAAACATTTGCATGTTATTTATTCATATCGTTTACATGTGTTTGCCCTGATAACATGAGCCTATGAGAAACAGCTGTCAGCAGCCACCAGATTCTGCTTGTTCACTGCTTTTTGCTGGAAGCCAAAAACAACTGCCCAGGCCCCATGAATACATGCAGTTCATTTATCCCAATTAGAAACTAATTTCAGGCAAGTGCCACTAACCAAGAACAATGTGAGACAGAACAAGAGAAATGATCTACAGCACAGTAGTAAAAGAAGAAACAAATAACAAATGAATATTTAGAGATCCTGTGGCCTGGAAAGCGTCTTCTTTTTGCCAAGCTGTAGATAATGCGTCTTTCAGCTACTGAGGCTTCTATTATCTGTGCAGGCACATCAGGCTCAAATTTTGTCAGGGTGTTTGTTTCTGAGTTTGCAGAACTGATAAGAATCTTACATGAAAATGTTTCCCTCTCTAACTGCAGTCATCAATACTGCAGGAACAGCCCTCTTCACAACCTGATGGTGTGCTTATCATCTGCACTTGGCCAGCAAGTCAGAATGTTAAACAAACAAACAAACAAACAAACAAAAAACCTAGAAATTTCAGAACTTACTCAAGGTTTCATTCCAGTTTGGCCCGAGGTTTCATGAAGACTCTTCGTCACTTAATGGCTGCTGCTTACCTCTAAGCTAAGCCTGCTCCAGAGTTCTACCAAATGTGATTTCTGTTTAATATGGATCACAGTTTTGTATACATGGGTGTCTTAACTTGTAGTACGCATTGAAAAGGCCAAGATCTTGAAGCAACTTATGCATACATGCAGAGTGAATGACCAAGCATTAATTCGATAGCTACAATCACTTTTATCAATGTGCAAATTTCAGTGTCAGGTCAGCAAGGATTCCACATGGTTTTCCCTTGGCTTCATTTTTATTTGTTTACAATTATGCGTGAAATGTTAGCAGCAGACATTTAGAACTATGGTACATCATGTGTAAACATATAAAAAGTCTTCACTTAACATAATTTTTAAAATACATATAAACAGCCATTAATTGGTTTTAATTGAATTGCCTAATCTTTTCAAGGACACGTGTGTTATAATGAAATTATTTGTTACTTAATGTTTCATTGGAACACACACTACTTTAGCAGAGAAGTTATTCATGGCATGAATTAGTTGAACAATACTTTTATTAGTGTTAAAATATGGAACAAAATGATATTGAAAGTATAATCAGAACCCTGATTTGTGTAATATTTGCCTTAGTCTCTAAATGGAACTGTTTTTTTTTTTTTGTTTTTTTTTTTTGTAAGCCATTTCACTATAGCATAAACAGGAGGTTCTAATCTAGAAAAGTTGTATAAACATAATCAATGTGAGTACAGCTCTCATTTATCTTTAAAATAACAGAAATGATGATATGCCATACTATGACACCATAAACTAACTATATATCCAAAAAAATATTAAACAAATTAAAATTGTATATTTTTCAGAGTACAAACAATTGTTTTGGAATTCTGTTTTGCAGAACATTTTTTATTCTTCTGATTTGAAATGCAATAAATAAATAAATAAATAAAAATCTCAAAACCAGCATTAAATTTTTTATTTTGTTTTATTTTATTTTATTTTTTTAATCTTGATTATGTCCAGTGCTAAAGTGCACAAGTTCTACTAGAAATAGTAATTATCTTAGGGAAAACATACAAAATGTGAATAAATTTCTGTCAGCTTTTCCATGCAAAAATTTGAGAAAAATAAAATTATAGCAGGAGAGGTAGCTACCACTAGACTATGAACAAAGGGAGATTAAACTGCAGACATTAAGTAAGTGTCCTACTTCACACTCACAGTTTGACTTTTCAATGCCACAGACTAAGTAGATGTTACAGATCATTGCACATGCTTTGTAAATGCTACCTGTGATGCCTAACAATTAGTTTTGAGGTTTAAATTTGCAAGAAGAGATAATTATGCACAATAAAATTTAGGAATCCTTGTTTGAAAATTATGGTATGAGTTACTAGTCACACGTTTTGCCCATATTCTTTGCCTCCATTCTTTCTTTGCTTCCTTTCTACCTTACTGTCTTGTTCCCGTCTTCTCCAATCTTCTGTTCCTCCCTGCTTATTTTTTTCCTTTTTTCCCCCTTTTTCTAAACTTTTTTAAAAATTTATTTTATTTCTTATGGCAGGAGGCCTCACAGGCTGTTAGGGTAAGACAATTGGAAAGCAAAGTTAAACACTTCTGTCACTCTAAGTATGCAACTGTACATCAGTTTAATATAACATCTAAGAAATTAACTTGGTTATTTTATAATATACTTCATATTTTGGAAATGACTACCTCACACACTCAGCGGGGCCACAATTGGATTGGTCCCTTTTGTACAAATGATTTATGTGATGTCTCTTTTGGGTTATATAAATCTTCACATAAAATGAATGGTGTATATTTTCAAAACAATTATGTAACTCACTACTGGCACAGAAATTGCAGATGGCCTATGTTAAACATTTTTTTTCTTTATTTTTCTTCTTCTTTTTTTCTCATGCATGAGATTTATGTCAAAAATCTTCTTCAGCTGTGTCAGAGTTATACTCAGACAAAACTTTTGAGTTTTAGAGCGCCTTCTTATTATGAATGATATATTGTTTACATGTTTAGAGTTTTTATATTAAGGTGAGGATAAGAATATTTTATTATTTACTTGGCTGCTGTAAAAGAGTTGGAAGAAGAGAGAGGCAGAAATGGATGTTACAAGCTGCAGAACTACACCACCATGTTAGTCCCAGGGACAGGAATAAGCATTACATTTTATTAAAAGCATTTCCTTATCATCCCTCCAGTGTATTCTGGCCATCAAAGCCCTCTTCAGTAACTTAAGCCTTTTTGTTTTTTAATGCCATTGCCATTAAAAATAACAAAACATACTTTGATTTTCCTTGCCTAGATTTTGGAGGGGGAGATTCGTGTTCTATAAAATTGCACTAATGTCTTCATGAATTACCTTGTTTACACATCAAGATCACTCTGGAAAACCATTTGCTTTACTTAAAAAATGTGTAACATATGCAGTGCTGATTGTTGAGATACCATTGTTTTCTAAGTTCAATTTCAGATGCATTGTTACACGAATGAGCACTGTACTGCAAGTCTCTGCTCTTGTCACCGTAAGTTTATGAACATTTTGCAATGAGATTTCTGTTAACCCTAAGGCTGTCAAACAGCATTTAAGATGGAACAGCACCTGATCATCATTGATCATTTACCTACTTATAAAGAAGAAAAGAGAATATGCTAAGGAATGAAAAACAACAACTAAAATAATTAACAAATGATTCATTCCCACACAGAAAAAAATAAATGTCAACCAATCAGTTCTTTACAGCTGTGCATGTTTTAAACATAATATTTTTCAACAGCTATCCCCATCAGAACATGTTCTACAGATGTAAATCAGTGCCAGTGAATTAAATTTTGCTCAGGGCATTGTGTACAATTACAATATAGCCATTAATGCAAAGAAAATAAACATGGAAAAATGTTTTACATGACATTGGATCTGACTTATTAACTGATTCAGTATAAATGGATGTCAAGAAAATAACGACAGCCCCAGGACCTATCCAAAATAGCATTGTTTGAGAAAATATTTCACTAGCGGCTTAAAATATGTTATTCTTTCATTCTGTTGTCTGTACTTCCAAATGAGGGAACTATAGCTTCAGTTAAAAAAAGCAAAACAAAGAAAAAAGAGACATACCACGTCAAGTAAAATATTGCATGAAAGACAATTTCTACATCAGAAGGTCAGAGTAAAGACAATGATTAACAGAAGAGAATGTATGACCAAGGAAAAGCAAGACTTCTCTAAAAAAGCAGTTGCTAAAGACAAGAAGCATGAAAAGCCCATTGCCATGGTGCCGGATGTGTTGTTGTTTCTTTCTGACCTCACCTTGTCCAGTCAAGATGACTAAAAGCCTTACTTTGTTATTTACTAGCTTTTAAGCATATGGTTTTTGACAGTCTTCATAATTCTTTAATAAGTTTCTTTTGTAGTGGAACTCACTCCTCAGAAACTCAGTTAAGGAATAGAATTGAATGTTTCATCTAGAGCAGATTCATTTTAATTCATTTAAATATGTAAAGACATTCTGTTTTGTTTTGTGGGTTTTTTTAAATACCCGTGGGCTTGTAGGCAGAGATGTATATAGCCTTATCTCCAAGCGAAAAGTCAGGTTTCAGTTCTCTGCAAACTTTTCCTTGTTCAAATTAGGGCATCTCAATGCAAGAGCTTGTTAAAGTTTCATGTTATAAGGGATGGGTCTGCCTTGGCAGATTAATTTACCAGCAGGAAAATCTACTTCTGTTTTTCTCAATGCCAAGTTTTAAAGCCTGCTTATATTGTGGGTGGTGTGATTCGAGAGGAAGCCGGGTAGCCACAGGCATGGGATCAGAGCTTCGTCCTTATGTACATGAGCGGCTGTGTGGGTGTGAGAGAAAAGCAGAAGCAAGGGATCTATCCTTACTCCTTGCACCCAAGCAGCTCTCCTCTACATCCCAGAGTGCAGCATGTGTTTGGGACTGAACACACTGTGCCAGTGTGTTTCCCTGTCATTCTGATGGGACTGGAAAACTCGATAACCTTGGGGCTGGAAAACCTCATGAACATTCTCCTGGCTTTGAAACAAGAGGAGAGAGGAAGGAGGTAAGACCCGCATAACCCACAGGAGGGTTTTACAAAGCCCAGAGCAAATTCCACTACACAGCACTGTGACTGCACGAAGGGGGCAGTGGGGCTCCCACACCACCAGACCAGCACTTGCAGGATAACAGCTGCACAAGGGTCCAGAAGCCAAATGGTTTCCCAAAAGGCCAATGTTGTGGCCGACCCCACACAGTGAATCAGACCTTTTCCTGTGCACACCTATTTGGAAAGAGCAGTCAAATTAAAATGAGCACTTTTGTATATGTTGATGCTGATGGTTAGTGTAATAAAGGACAACAGCTTTTATGGCACGGGCTTTGTGGAACCACAGAGTGAGAGTCTGTTAGCAGATCCCCAGTCAGTTTTCACACAGGTGTAACGATAAAAGGAGACAATTTAATGTACAAACATTTGCAGGCCTGGTGGGTCATTGATACAGCCAAGTGAATCCCACGGACACTGAGAGGACTCAGAGCACCTTTACCCATCACAAACAAAACAGACTTTTGTTTGGGCCCGGACTTTGCAAATTTAACTAAGACAGCATGGACTTGCTCCAGGCTTACACTCAGGCAACATTAAACATACCTGCAGGTCTTGCAGACATAACCAGACTAAATTTGAAACAAACTTACCACCATTACCCTCCAGTGCCTGCTCCTGGAGGTGCCCCTGCAATGCTGCTGCTGCAGGCACCGTGCCAGCTGCCCTCAGCCTGGCCAGTCCGAAGGCATCGGGCATGCTTACAGACCTGCTGCAGCTCAGAACTAATCAGAGATACTCCTTCTAACCTATCGCCTTACTTTACCTTGCTTTAAGATTACTGGAGACAAACGCTAAGTGCATTGTAGACTGACTGCTTTTACAGTTCAGTGATTCCTGCTTGGGGCTTCTGACCATTACCAAATTTGAAATCAGGAACTTGCTTATTGAGTACTCCATATGTGACACTGAGGAAGAGAACAGAGACCCTTCTTAGCTAGTAAGAAGGCCACGCAAGCTGGGGCATCTGGGAGCCTGTTTGCTGTAAGATTCTATTTACTGCTTTGGTGAGAGAAAGTCAGAGTCAGAATACAGTCTTTACTGTTCTGCTTAGGCCACAATTTTCTGCTGTTTGCCAAAACAGGACCAAATAGGAATATCAGTGAGTAAAACCTGTCTTCTGTTTGCCATCACACAGCCTGTAACTGCATAACAGTGTTGCTTTTGCACTCAGTTCTCTCTAATTGGTTTTCTCAAGAAGCAGTTTCTCTCCAAAAATATTGATATAGGAGTGGCAGGAGGACAGTGGAGAATCTGTTCAGAGCGCCCTTCTCCACAGCCTGCCCTGGGAGCTATTCTGCTGCTCACAAGTTGATATTTTTCTCACCTTTTACATCTTCCCCCACTCGGGCTAACCAGCCCCTGCACCTGCTGCTGCAGGATATTGCCATCCATGGCTTTCCAACACTTCATATTCTGATGAATAGTTGGCTTCTTGTCATTTCAGAGAAAGGCCCCAACTGTTCCTGAATTTTCTCTCCAAGTCCAGAACAGAACAGAAGAAGCCCTTATTTACCTTAATGGGCTCTGAAGATTAATGCTGCCATCAGTCTGAGGTGCCTGGTCTCCTCATGCTGATTTCTGCCTTTGGTTTCATGACTTCTGGCTGGTGAAGGAGGATTTTTGCCCAGGTTGCTCAGATCTGTAAGCATGATGTTCTTGGCTAACTGTGACACCTGCGTATTAGAAGATGCCATAGAAAAACAAACTGTCCTGTGGCTTATACAGATATAATTTACAAACTCTTTCAAGCATCCTACAGTGAGAGAGTAAAATGAACATACTTTAAAGCAACAAAGTGACCTGTAGCAATAAGCTTAGAAATTATTCTGAAATTAAAAACAAAACAAAACAAAACACTCTACCTCTTTCAAAAACAGTCCACAACTTAATTACAGTAAGATTTTTTTTTTCTCATGAACTTGCAGGTTGCTGTACTAATAATACTACACTGCATTCCTTTAAGGCTTAAGCACATACATTTTAAAAGCTGATAACATTTTTTTCCCATTAGAAGAGCTTAAATCCTTCTACAATATGTTCAGGGATAAAGTTGCACAAATTTGGTTTCCAAGCCAAGTAAAGTCAGAAGTCTTAGCACCACAAAGCTTAATGAGTGAACTTTTGCCTCACTAAGGCCTGGAAGATAAGAAAAGATGAAGACTTTAAAATAAAGGCAAATATTTGCTTGAACATGTAAATGTAATTGTTCAGACTGTAAATTAAATTCAATTAAGTTCAGAGAGTGGTATCTTAAGCCTTTAGCTAATTACACTTGTGAGCTTCAACTCATTAAACTTAGTACTTTTAAGAAAAGGGAATCTGGCAGTTAACTGCCCATTATATGGACTGGTTATCTCGTTTCCATTAAAACACCACTAAAACTTTGAGACTTATCTGCAAGATACTCCATGGGAGAAGGAAGGAAGAGAAGTGGGAAGCAAGAGTCTTTTTTCCAACAATGGCAAAAGAATGTGAGTCACAGAAAGAAATATGTATTTACTGGGTACACAAACCTATAGCTACACATCCAAGGATATCCATGTTCAGTATTGGGGTGGCTACTGGCAAACAGTTACTTGCAATGCCGTCCACCTTGACAGACACCCAGGGACTGACTGTTGTCTCTCTGGTTAGCAGTGCATCCCCTGTCAAAAGAGAAAGCTCTTAAAAAAAAAAAAAAAAAATCTCAGCAATATAAGGTCAAATAAATATTCTGTTTTGTGATAACAGCTAGGCTGGCCAGAACTTGAAGGTTTGATACGGGTATCTTTTGACCTGAAAACATGAAGGAAACTATGCAAGGGAACAGGAAAAGAAGAGGGGGAGCCGGGGTCAAACTGAAACTCAGATACAGGGGATGAAAGTGCATGAGACATATAACTGAGGCAAATGGAGTCAAAACAACATGAGTATGGAATGGGGGAGTCAGGAAGAGAGTCTGAATTGAGAGCCCTTAGGTTCCCTGATCTGTAAAACAGCATAAAATGAAATGAAACTAATGCTGTATCGACTCCTTGACATGAAGAAGCAGGAAGGAGGCATTGCAGGGAAGTGAATAAAAATCAACAGGAGGTTGACATGTCAGGAGAGAGACAGGGAAGACTGCAGCCTCAGGAGACTAAGCCAAGAACATGGCTTACAGAAGCTACAAAATGTGCAACCAAGTGTTTTTATAGAGGGACTAGCTAGTGTTGGCACAAGACAGCAAGTGTTAGCACTGGGAGACAAGAAGTGCTCAGTGTGTGACAGTGATGAAGTCCCACGCAGCCCTGCGAAAGTATGTCTGCGCTGCATAAAACTGAGGAGCTCACTCTGAGCTTCTTAGCCAAGCCTCAGAAGCAGTCTATGCACATTAGTACTGCTCAGATTAACTTAAGTGGGTTAATACCCCTAATTTGTTGCAGGTATCAGTAATCCGCACTTTGCAGGGTTAAGCAGACTCAGCGTATCTTTGTAAGAAAGAGGCACTCCAGAGACAGCTGAACAACGGGTCACTGCCTTCCAAACCCATTCAAACCCTCATTTTACCAGTCCATGTCCTCGGTCAGTGATTATGAACAGCAGAGCAATAGGCACTGAGCAGAGACTGCCAACAAGACTATGCTGTTGAATAACTGCCCCCTTTTAATTGCTGCCAAAGCTAACAACCATGGCTATGTTAATTCCAGGTGGTCTCGCTTTAAGAAAGTGCTCTTTTGCTTTCCTTTTTTTTTTTTTTTTTTTTTGAAAAACAAAAACAAAAACATCTTGTTGTATAATAGAAAAAATCACCCAAACAAACACATACCAAGTATTTGCAGCGGACAAAAGGTGCTGTTCACACGACTTTTGTGTTTTGTGTTTTCATACTGCTCTAAACTTTCTGCTGGGTTTGAACTCCTGCCAGCATTTTAGCATAGCAACTTGCTTTCTTCATGACATTCAGCAAGTGGTTTTGCCTCCTGAAAGGCTTGGGCTGCAACCCAGGGAGAATTTTACATTATGAAAGAATGGAAAGTCGGTTACAGCAGGAGCAGCAAAAACTACACACCTCCTTTCCCCTGACCGCAGACTAACCCAGCACGCCATCTGCATGGTCTGGGTACGTGATATTATGATTGTGATCATGTGGGACCCAGCGCTTCCAGCTAGGAGGAGAACATACCTTGTTCTGTGGAGCAGAGGCTATTCGTGGGGCTCCTGTGGGCTTGCTGCTACTTGCACAATTTTAATATGCTTGTGTTTATGTGGCTGACTCTGCACACGTTGTAGAGTAGCAGCATACAGGTAGGAGCCTGTTGGTTCCTGAGACATCCCTGAAAAAGCAGGGAGCCAGGCAGGGATGTCTTCTCCAGAAATCCTGCCTGATCTGCAATCTTTCCAAATCATCATCACATGATTGGGAGGCAACGTTTTCCCAGGGGAAGAGGGAGACTCAGGGCAGGCCATGGCATAGATAAATTATCCTAGCAAACTGCACAGGGCCCACAGAGCACAGGTTGAGTTTTTCTGATTAGCACCAATGCACCAAGTGCCATATCTCACTCAACTGAAAGATTCCCATTGGCTTTAGTGAACATTGGACCAGGCCATAAAATTACAGATAGGTAGAAAAGTAAATAGGAGACCTCCGTCTGTTGCTGGCACAGCTGTGACTGTGAATACAACTGGGACAAAAACAACTTCAGTGTACCCTGAGACTCCACGACGCCTGTCCAGTGATTGGATTTTATTTATTCCCTTCCTCAGTGGAGCTGCTTTACACCACCAGGAAAATCTGGCCCATGCACTCTGCTCTGGAATATTTAAGCCTAGGTGCTTTTAGCATTGGGCACAGATTACATCAGGTGACAGGTGCAAAGTAACTGTAGTTAGTTATACCAGCATGCAGACTGCGAAAAGCATCCTCATAACATAAATAGGCTGGACAAACTTGAAACCACTGTTACTGAGCCAGAAAGACACACTCCTCCTCCCACAGCTGGTCTCCTGTCTGCTAGACTCAATGTGATATTGCTTGCAAGGAGGAATAAGGCTCCTTCTCTGCATATTGTACATGCAGCTTTTGCTGCTGCGTGGCTTTAGGTAGATTATTATTCTGCCCCTTGCTTTAATCATCAGCTAGTGACAAGTTAGTGATGGCTTTAGTACCGGCGCTTGTTGGAGATGACATGTTAATTCATGGAGATTTTAAAAATTTAAATATATATTAAATTAAAGTCATTTTTACTAGGCAGAAGGTGTTATAAGCTAGTAAAATAAGTAATAATAAATTCAACAATAATAACAAATATTGGCTTAAGAAAATACGAAAACAATGCCATACAACAACAACAACAATGAAGAGAGGCAAAGGGACATGATATCCTTGTGGATTATTCTGGATGAAAAGTCATCACCCCTGGAAAACCTGTCCTGAAAGCCTCAGATCTTGCACATGTTATCCCATTAGCCCAGAGAAAACCCTGAAATCAGGGGAAGTTTGCCACAGCAATGGCAAACTTACCTTAGAGGAATCAAGTCTACATTTGTAATGAGACAAGACACCTGTAATTCAGTGCACTGACTCCTTCTTTCTCGTGCTTTCAAGTACAGAGCCAGGTCACTGGCACAGAGTGACTTTTTTTTTTAGGTATATGCCTTCAGTCTTACCTTTCCCATCAGGCATTCATAGCTGAGGGCAGGCAGCTGAAAGACTGAAGTCTCAGTCCTGAAGGACTACCCTGGGTAAAGCAAGATATAGTCAAGGCTTCCACTTCTTTTGGTTCATCTGTTCCCATATAATTTCCCAGATTTTCTTGCCCACACTTCTCTGTCTACATAAAAATCTAATAATAACAAGGTTTAAATAAATAAAGTAAAACAGACATCTATCTTAATTGTTTGTTCCTTCCTTTATGTTCACTGTGTAGAGCAAAATTGCAGGCTTCGTCCGACGTCTATGGTGATAAATCTTAAGAAGGGCAGGACCTTCCATTATGAATGGAAAGATGGCTTTAATTTAAAAAATAAAATTAAAAAAAAAAATCAATACATTATTTTAAATCATTAGAATCTCGTGCCAGCTGCAAAATCAATCGCTTTCTTATTAAAGTGCTTACATTCACTATAAAATACTCAATGACATCGAGTCTCCATTATGAAAGAGCTGGACTATGCTCTTAGGAAGCCAGCAACTTGCATTGTAATCATGGATTTTGCATAATAGATGAGAGTCTGTGTTTTAAATCATGGATTTCTTTTTGGAGGAGTAGCTGACATGCAACATGGTCCACTCATAAGAGGAGTGGGAGTGTGGGCAGTTGTATGCAAGGAAAATTGTATCTAGGATGTGTAATTTAGAATTTCCCAGTCCATAACAGAAAGTCATTTAATGCTGTTCAGGAAAATCTGTCATAACAATAATAATAAAGATAAAAATAAATAAACAAAAACAAACAAACAAACAAATAAAAGATTCTGCAGATGGAAAGGAACAGCCTGACCCAATTTACTCCAATCCGACATGCATAGTGATTATTAAAAAATAAAAATAAAAAAAGGTAGGGAGTGAAATAAAATGTCAGGAATTTGGTTTGCACCAGTTTTGTTTTGCTGTTATCTCTACTGCAAGTGACTGTTCTATTTAGTTCTGAATAATTGCTCTGCAAGTTGGATTAAATTTTCTCCTCTCTCTTGGTTTAATGTTGCAGCAGAGACAGTGTATATTATACAATGGCATAACACATGCCTTTCAGAAAAAACCTTGACAACATGAAATTCCCATAGGTGCTATGCTCACAAAGCATTAGCGTAATGATGTTAGGGAGAAATCTTTGTTCTTATAGAAACTGTTTATATCTGTCAGGGTCTTATATGCAGACTGTTGCAAACACTATGGAAATAAAAAAAAAAAAAAAACAAAACACACTAAGACACAATAAAATTCTGTTAGTGATTGAGCAAAAGCAGAGTTTGAAAATGAGAGATGAAATTCCTTCCACTGAAATAGATGTATTTTAAATTATGGTAAAGCACAAGTAGAGGAAGCATCAGAAAATACAGATGGAAATCATAGACCAGTGCAATATTAGTGTGGGACACTTTAAGGCCTAATTCAAAGCCTTCTGAAGCCAGTATTATGTCTAACAGGTCTAATAGTAATAATAATCGTAATAATGGCTGTTCTTCATAATTAAGGATGATTACGAGGCACTTAGGGTAATGCAGCTATTTACTTTCACCACCCATGTATTTGTTTGTGTGAGAATAGATTTAACTGTGATGAACATCTATGGTTGTGCGTGTTTGTTTTTGATGACTGGAAAGTGCTAATTGATTCTCCTTGAGCTTTCTTCCTTGAGGCTTTCTTGGCCTCCATTTTATTACACATTTTGCCTCATAGGCTGTTGTATCTTCAAAAATCAGATAGTTTTTCCAAAGACTTTTTTCCCACTTATTGATAAAGATCTTGCAGGCTTTAAGGGATGATTTCAGCATGCCCTTCAAACTGGATTTTAGCTGTTTGTTTGCCACAAGCAATAAGGTCCCCTCCAAGGATCAAGAGAACATCTGTGCTGTTTTACATTTCATCTCCATGCTGATGAGACCTTATGAAGAGACCTACAGCCTAAGTGGCTGCTCTGAGAGCGAAGCCCTGGGTCTCTTTTGTGACCATGCCTGAAACCCAGCATAGGCAGAATCATGCTGTTTTCAAATACAGCATCTATGCAAACCATAGGACCAATTGAGAAGGGTGAGCATTACAATGGCCTGATACACGCCAGTCTTTCTGACTGGGGACACCCTGCTCAGAAGTCGCAAGTTAAACATGAGAGCAGATCTAGAGGACAGGAAGGACTGTAGCCTGCCAAGGGAAAACAAATACCTAATGAGTAATTGGGGAAAGGAGGGAACATCCTTCTACAGTCAGTGATCCGAGGGCTACATCTCCATTAATTCCCCACCAGATTTCCAACAGGAAAATCAGGTTTACAAAGAAGAAAGACAAAGGTTTGCTCTGCCTCTAAGCTTAATGGAAAATTTTGATCCCATGTTTTGCTTACTGAGGACTTCCCCCTATGTCCAGGTAGGACTCAAGGCTCTAAGGGAGCAGGTTACCTTGTTTTCACCTCTCCCACAGATCAGCCAGTTCCACTTCTTTCCTTGAGTTGCTGCTCACAGAACGGGAGACAGATATGGATTTGAGTGACTGTCAAATAATTGTTTGCTTTCTAGTTAAGCCTTCTTTTTAATTAACTCAGGCTTGAAGAATAAAATTAAATCAGCTTTAGTATTTAAGGAAAGTAAACTTTTTCTAAAATGTGAATAAATTGAAGAAAAATAAGGTATAGAAACAAATTAATAAAAATAAAAATATTTTCCCTGAGCCAAGACGTTGCTTCTTTGCTTTGAGGAGCGTGTGGCTTTTGCTGCTGAGGAGGAAAGCCCTGAGAAACGGTACCTAGGAGCACAGGAGCCCTGATTCAGGCATAGGTACTGTGATGTGATGAGCATCAGTTCTAATTCCTTTCATGCTTAGCAGGTGCCTGTAACATCTGTTACAAAACAAGCCCTGATAAAGTAGCCTTATGTCTTAATCCAAGGTATATTATATTCATAAACAACTTCCATCCTTCCCTCTACTTCTCCCTGTTGAAACATAATAATGTACTACTAAAAATAGGATTTCTGCTTTCCAATTGAGAACATAAATAGTGAGAAAATAAATAGTCTCTTTTGTTACCAAAGCCTCACAGGAATGCAAACAGAGAAGCAGCAAACATAAAACCTATTTCTAAGGTGTTCTGGAGTAGTGGATCAGCCTCTGATGTTCAGATATACATCAGTAAATCCAGACTTTGATCTACAAAAACACTTATGTACTTGCATAACTTCAAGCATATGAGTAGCCTTTTCACTTGAGATTAGGATGTGGTCAGGTGCTTTTCTGGACTGTGGCTTTTAAAAGGAGTGTAAGGATTAGTTATATATTTTGTATTGTGGGAAGGAGTACAAGGAAGGAAGGAAGGAAGGAAGGAAGGAAGGAAGGAAGGAAGGAAGGAAGGAACCTTGGCTTATGTTAGAAAACAACAAACCCAAACTGAGCATCACAGGAGGAGATGAGTATCTAGTGCTTCTGCTTGAGACCAAAGAGAAATATACAGTACTTGCAGAAATGGTTCCACAACCTTTGGCCTTATATCAAAATAATTGCACTGAAAATTTGAGGAAATTTATACTTTTTAGAGAAAAAAAGAGGATGCCACCTGAGAACTTGTAGCTTCAGGACTCTGTAGGATCAGTTTTACTCACATATCTTTGGTTTTCCATTCTCATTCAGTCTCCCTGTTGGAAATCCTAACCCTTTTAGCCCTCTGATGATACAATTACATAAGATGCAGCTCTGTGTTTTGGACAAAACATGCTGAGCTCATTTAAAGAGAAGGTCTGAGCTCATTATTTACTTTTTTTTTTTTTTTTTTTTTAATTGAACAGGTTAGGGATGCTCAGCTCATATGCTCAGCTTATAGGTTATGCATAACTGACATAAGTACACCAAGCACTCAACTGGCAAACTGGAAGCAGGGATGGCTATGCACAAACTGCCCATGGGTAAGGATATAGGAGTTTCATGTTATACGGTTAATTAGGCAGGGCCAGGGGACATTCCCAGGCACTGGAGCTTGATTATTTATACTATGAAATTGTTAGGATGATGGCTGGCATGTTTTTGGCAAAGACACAAACACCGCCAGCTAACACACTGCCAAGTAATTCCCAAGAACAGCATGGGGAAGGAGCCCTCCTCCATAGGCAGTTTGCATTCAGCCACCATGTTCTGGAGGGCACGTTAATTCAATAGTTCGTACGCAGACTGTTCAGCATCAGCTTGCCTCAGTGCCAGCAAATGTTCCTGGGCATGCTTAATTTACTAATGCAGATGTAGCCATAGGTCCTATTCATGGGCACAGTGCTGATTCAGTTGACTTACCAGTCTATTATAATCTAGATAGAGCTTGATTCATTGTAAGCAAAATAAATACTTGGAAATGCAGTAGAGGTGAAACCAATGGGAGCCTGGGAAAAAGTGCAGATGCAACAGGATCTGATTTGAGCATAAACTGTAATAAAAATACTGTGACTATAGATGTAAGGTCACCTAAGGAAATAAAATGAGAAAGTGTTGAGCTGGCACAAGAAAACAATTAATGTTGGTGAGCCTTAGCATTAATGAAGTCTGATTTGTAACGATTTATGTTTCTCGGTTGATTGACTTCGGTATTTAAGGAGCTTTTGACTAAAGCTTACTTCTGTTTGAGATACATTTTCATGTGGTCTCTCTTCTGCTTGGTTTTTCTGAAGTCTGACCACATGTGTATGTATAATGCACCTTTCCTTCAGTCAAGTGACTTAGAAGGTCTTTTCTATATGTGGAAACTTGATTTATTGAAGCTTTTAGGAACTTGGTTGTCTTTCGGACTTCTACCTCTCTGCCAGAATCAGTCAACAGGTTCAAAATTTAGACGAGTACAAGCCTGAGAGCTGACTGCAGAAGCCTTGTTTCCATAGGATACGGGGCTGCAGATCTGTGGTGCATTAGGATACCGCTCATGCACTCAGCATGGAAACAAAGAGACAGCAAGAAAACTCAAGTGGGGAGTATGTCAGAACCAATACACAACAATTTAGCTAACAACATTCATTAATACATTTTGTTTTTTAGTTAAGACAATTAACTAATTTCAAATCACTATTTCCTCATTTTCTATTTCATTAATCCCTAGGAGAAGCACCCACGCTGTTCAAAATATACCTCTGAATATACTGCTGTGTTCTTGAAAAGATTTATTTTCAGCAACACCAGAAAAATAAAAAGATCTGGAGGAATAATAAAAAATGGATTAAAGTGAACAGAAATAATTTATCAACTGCAGACGTACAGGAACGGAAAAGGCTGACTACAAAAGATTCCACAAAAATAAATAAATAAATAAATAAAATTAAGTACAGCTACTTTACGCTAACAATACATTTGTGTATATTTGTCAGTGTTTCAGACAAGTTGCTTACCTGCCTGTTGGTACAACAAGGTATTACACGACATAAGGAATATCAGGCAGACTGCTGCATTGGAAACATGCATAATATTTTTCAGGTCAGACATCTAACAGGGCTGAATTCCTCTCATTTAAATTGGCATGAATCAGGAATACCTTAGTCTAATTTCAGTATTTCAAAACCTGAGGTAGTAGGAAGAAAATCAACATGCTACATGTTTAGGGGTAAATTACAAGCTTGGCTGGTGCTTCTGTGCAAGAAATGAATACGTGAACAACGGGCTTTACATGTGTTCCTTAGGAAAGATGTACATCTGCCTTACCCAAACCCTTCTAATATAACTCTATATGTGCTTTCTAAAATCAGTTTCTTATTTCTATATATTAATTTCTAATTCCCCTACTTAATTTTTCCCAACATTAGGTTTCCCAACATTAGGTTTCTTTGTACTGAAATAAGAATGATATGCCTGTCAGAGTACTGTTGTCCCTTATTGTTTTACATTAGAGAAGTAAATTGCTTATTGGAGGCTACTCAAGAAGTTATTGGAAGAACTTAAAGTCAAACTCAGGCTTTATGCTTAGTCTGTTAGAACCTACTGACTTTAACAGCATTTTCTCCCAGTGAAGAAGTTAACCTCCTGGCTTCTGACAGTAGAGGCAGGGACCAATCTCAGGCTGTCCCCTGTGTGGACACACTTAACCTCTGCAGTCTCAGTTTCTTACAGTTTAAGGCTGAATTATAATAAAATTAACATGGATATTTGTGTTTATTTGGCCTTTTGATGAGAAGCACATGGTGATGAAGCACAACTTAGTGTCTCAAGAACCCTCAGACGAAGGTAGGAGTTATACAAGCCCTCTGCTCCTCCAGACAGAGGCCCAGGTTACTGTAACACTCCCAGGCTTATACTCAGGCTGGTCAGACTCCTGCAGGCTGCTGCACTACACCACCTGGGAGGCCTGAGGCAGCAATGTATTGGCCCTGTGTGTGTGATATCATAGCACTTCTCAGACTGTGGAATATATCCCATGTGGTGGGACAGATCAAGTCAAGCTGCAGTTTCTCTGCAATGTGACCTTGCCACTAGGGACTATGAGTATACTGGACACAAATACTAAATCTCCTCCAACAGCAGTGTCCCCCATCTCAGCAAGGCACCTTTCCTTCTACACACAGTGCTGACACTTCCCTAATCCATCAACGAACCAGATTAACTCACTGGACAGGTAGAAAACTATTCACTCTTTTCTACTGGGTTAGTTTCCCAGAGGTTGAGTTGTCAGTTTATTTAAGGTGAGATAAGAATTAGAACAAGCAAAAGGGGAGTAAGGGGATCCAGGTAGCCTGGAGGAGAATAGCAGGACTGACCCTTGGATGGCAGGGAGGACTTGCTCGTGCAGCTCTCCTCATGGTGAGACTCAGACTGGTGTCACCTGGAAAGCAGAGAGATGGAAATGGTGAAAACAGCAGGAAGACAGAGAGAAGGAGGGAAGTCTCATCAAGACTAAAATAAGAAGGATAAACTGGAAGGAAGACAGAAGCCAAGGGGAAACAGATTGAGAGTTGCAGGAGTTCAGTGCCAGCAGATGTTCCAAATCGGATGGGCTGAGGGAGCTCCATAGGGAAACAAGGGCTGCAAGGGAAATGCATGGGAGAACGGCAGGAACCCAGAGGGAATTGCTGCCAGGTTAGAAAAGGGAGAAGGCTGTGCTGACAGGCTCTTCTTAAGCTGCTTTTCTCCTGTTCAGTTAGTCTGATTTGTTTATTTCACCTCCAAAGTTTTCAAGCCATTCTGTCATGAAATATAAAACAGAGAAAAGGAATAAACTTGCAACAGAACTGCACGTTTGACCCTCACCTCAGGATATATGCAGGTAACAGCAGTTGCAGTTGTGCATCTATCACTTTACAGTCGTTTCGTTATTTGTGAATAGGTATCCAGTATATCATAGGGAAAATACCAAGGATTTCCTACCCGGGAAAAACACTAGCTGAAGAACCAGACCAGTCAGACCCTTCAGTAATCTCTGAGTATGTAAAGCCCTATGAATGGAAGCTGTGCAGCAGCCTTCAGCCACTCCACACAACGGTAAGACCAGAGGAAAGGAACTTAATTTGCTTCCAAAACATCAAGGCTGGTGCAATGCATATTTAGGGAAAGGAAATGTACTTCCCTGCCTTTGCTTCACTGTCAAATCTGCAGATTGTGCAAGGCACACACTCACTGATTGCCCTCACCCTCACACTGGAGAGGCTGGAGACTTCCTCTACATGAAGGTTTTTCTTTCATCGAACTCCGTCTGGTTTTATGTGATGATTTTAATTTCCCATGCATAAACCAGGCAGATATGAGTAAAGAAAGCTGTAGAAACCAAAGATTATGGAAGAAAAAAACAGGTAGCAAAAACATGTTTCTTCTTGTCTTCAAATACAATTTTAGAATCAATATTCTAAACTAAAATTCATCAATTATCTTGAAGTATTTACTTCAATAAATTTATTAATTATCTTGAAGTATGTCTTCTATGAGACATACATTATATAGCTCAAGGATAGCTCATAGTTACAAAAATATTGTAGAGATTTCAGCTTTAAATCCTCTCTAAATTAAGAGAGACAGAGAAATATATACTCTTTCTCTCTTCTTGGCTCATCTTTATTCTTGGGTCTTAAACTGGAACAAATTTTCCCATTCTTGACACCTGGCACAACTTGGATTGTACTATTATTTCATGTTAAGAAAGGGCTTTAGGCACATAACTTCCCATGTTAGTTGTATTAACTGTATTTTACAGGCTGAGAAAGATGAGACAAGAGAGATAATTTAAAATGACATGACAACTTGTAAAAAAATAATGTAAATTTTATTTGAAAATAAAATATAATTATTTTTTCCGTTAGTGAGATAGCAAGCCCATCCTAGTAAAACAGGTAGTGTGGAATTTATTTCCTCCTTGTGGCAGCAGACACCTGTGTTACAGACAACACTGAATTATGTTCAAATTCTGCCTGAAGAACAGAAACACTGAGAAAGACCTGGGATCAAAGCAAGTTTGGTTATTCAGACCCCCCAGATATACACATTCTTAAAACATGGCTGAAGTTGACATTTCTCTTGAGGTCTTTTCATTTACAGGGCAGATATAAGCCAGGCAGATACTAATTTTCACAACACTACAGGGAAATCATGATCAACTACATCTTCGATGAGTAGTTTCTCTAACGAATTAGCCACAAACATATTTTCATTCCTCAGCAGTCCATATCTCTTGTGCCCATGATATGAATCTCAGATTCCATCACTTTCATGATTTTAAATGAGTGTTCACATGGCTATTCACATTCTAGAGGTGGTGTCAATAACAAGTAAGCCAACTTTACTGCATCCCAATTGAAAATCAAATTCTGCTGAATTCTGGGAGTCTCAAGACAAGGCATCTTTTTTGTGATTTTCATTATGGAACAGAAGTAAAAACAAGGATGCTGTTCCATCAAAGTAAAAACAAAATGTTTGAGAATGACATTGTTCTTGTGGATAAGACAATCAAGAGGTCTGTCTTTGCCACAGATTCCTTAAATGCCCTTGAAAAATGCCACAAGTATGTGTGAGCCTTCATCTTCCATTGCTAAAGAAAGAATGACATTACTTATTTCTTCCTTTCTTTACTTTTCTGGCCTACTTTGAATATAAATCATGAAGAAGTAGGAACTGCCTTATGAAATCAAACACATCAAATACAATACTTTCCCTCTGGCAGTGACTAAGAGTGGATCTTCAGAAGACCATGCAAGATACTCTGGGGAAAGGAACAGTAGCATAATCCACCTTTATGAAAGATTCTCTCTAATCCCTAGAAATTAGAGATTGACCTAAACCATGAAGCATGAAGTTTTCTATCTGGACAAATTTATTTTAGCTATTACAAGCTGTTATCGTTATTCATATCCATACCAAATCCCCTTCTAAATGTTGCTAAATAATGTGGAAATGCATTCTGTTGAATGATTCTTAATGTCTGTTTGAATTATATCTATTCTATGGGGTATAATTTGGCTGGAGCTTTCAGTTATTCCCATAAAGATAAATGGTAGTAGAGAAACAAATAGGTGGAAAATAGGTGGAGGACGGGGGAAAGATGTGCGCTTCATACAGCTTTAAACTTCCTTTCCTTTGTATATTGGCAAGTATTTCACAAAAGAAAATGTTGAGTTATGCATTTTGCACTGGAGTTCTTTGCTAAACTATATCAAACAAATGAGTCTGCTCTTTTGTATCCTCTTTCTAATTTGAGATGACTCCAAGGCAGCTTTGCTTTCAGAAAAACAGGAAGTTTGGGGATTCCTTCCTCCAGATTTAATGTTTTTCAGTTTTTAAAGCAATCTGGATGAAGCAAATGACACCAATATCTCTCTATGTGCTTTTCCTCTGCATTCATTTGGCTTGGGAGGGTCAGTGCCAGGACCCCTAACTAATTTCCTTGAACATGGAACTGTGACTTGGGTATATGTCTGGGGACAAACCCCAGGTGGGAAGAGTGAGCCTTTTCAAACCTTTACTTTCCTTCAGGCAGTGTTAAGCAGATTGAAGCCTCATTTTCTTTCAAGAATTGAGCCTCTTCAAACAGCTGCTTGTGTGTGTCACATCTGTTCTTTTTTTCTGTTTTTCATCCTGCCCCCCAGAAGAAGCCAGGCACAGGTTTACCTGCTGGGGAAGGCAGGCGGCATCGGGGTGCTGGGGGCCTGTGGGAGGAGGAGGATGCTCTCCCCCCTGCCACATGCCATGTGCCATGATAAAGAAAAGCAATTTCAATCCACAGCATCAGGCTTATGAAATAAATAGCTCTGCTCCACCCTAGATAATTCACAGGGTTTTAAATTGAATCCTTTTAAAAGGAAACGCTCACATCGAAGAAAAGGGCAGCAAAGTGAGGCTGCTGGACTGAGGGAATTGCCAGCGTTGCTTACTAGTACCACAGGGCAGAGATAAACTTTAAATGGATTCAGCAATCAAAATAAGGGCCATGCAAAAGCTCCACTGACAGAGGGACAGTTTCTTGCATCCTTTTATTGAGCATTCATGCAGGTCCCAATTTATTCCTCATTACACCATCTGCAAGAGAATAAACTGGAGGAGCAGCAGCAGCCTATCTGTGCCTCTCATGCCCTCAGAATTGCAGATGGGGTCCAGCTCTGGAGCTCTGCATCACTGAGGTGGTGCAGACATGGATGCCACCCTAAAAACAGATCTGCTGGGGCTCCTTGCTACGTGACATGAGCAGGGAAGGATGGAGAGGGACAGGAATTGCCCCAAGAATGGAAGCTGTTTGTTTTATAAGGTGATACTGGGTTAATCTGCTTCACGAAATAAGGTGAAGCACTTAAACATTTGTACATGTGTATAGAGGGGAGGAAAAATGAGATATTCCAGAATCACGGAATTGGTTGAGGTGTGAAGATGCCTCTGGAGATCAAGAGCAGGTTGCTCAGTCGGGTCCTTACATAGCCTGCTGTCACAGCAATATGCGCTAGAGTATCTGAGGGGGCTTTGAGCTGGCTAGTGCTGCAGCATGATGAGTAAATATTCTGGCTGTTAACCCTCCAGGAGCTGGCTTGTCCATGCCTACATGGGCCTCTGTGACTGCTGTGTAGAAACACCCAGGTGCCATGTAGTGCCATTAACTCCATCAAGAACCTGGCAAGGCTGCAGGTAAAGTGGAGCCAGGAATGAAAAACTTCCAGAATTTTGTTTAGATATCTCAAAAATAGCTTTTTTTTTTTTTTTTTTTTTTTTTTCGGCTTGGTGGCTTGGCATATTACAAAACAAGAGCAGTTCTTATGGCTTGTCCAAAATTTTTCACATTAATTACTATTAGAAAAATGTATTTTTAGTTTGTTTCTATAAATGTTCTGTTATAATCTGCAATCCAAACATTTAAAAGGAAAAGCAGCATCAAAAATAAGCTATTTAAATATTTCACGTTTCTTAAAATGTGTTTTTAATGAAGCTGACATAATTCCACAACAGGTGAAGATATGAATGCTTCTGTTATAAAGTTCTTAAAAAACTGTAATCCTGTTTTAGTCCTGAGTGCGAAAAATCTGTCTCAAAAGACAGGGTTGTATTTCCATTAAAATCTTAAAATCCAATCTTATGTTCTTTGGTCAGGTTATATTCACACATATTTCATTTGGATTCCTTCCTGAATGAAAGCCACAAGATCTAAGCTTGGATTTTTGAAAACAGTTAATGAGAACAGAAGTACAGGTGGGTGCAGCAGCTCTCTCTCCCATGAGAAAAAGAAGTGAAATAGTTTAGGGAATATCTTTCCCATGTGAATTAAAGGAAGATATATGTAAAACTGCTTTCAGTATGCAAACTCATCAATTCAAAAGGAAATTGTTAAGGATCTGAGCAGCCTTCACACATACTGATT